GTTAAAATAAAATAAACAAAAAGTAAGCTAAGAATGACTGTTTAAATTTATTCTAAACATTAGAAGCTAGTTATTATTTATTTTTTTTTAATTGATCTCTCAAGCCATTGTTGCGCAGCAACATGGTACACATTTTCCAGATGCGAATCTTAGTTCAAATGCCGTAATTGCGTTTTTTTCAAAAATTAATTCCCCGGGTAATTGATTTACATTAGCCAATCAAACGAATGTCTGACTATGAAACCACCCAGGTACAACGGGTAAAAATTTTACCCGGGTGACCCGCGGGTTCACCCGTCAGGTGACCCGGGTGATCGACGGGTATACCCGGGTAATGATTTTTTAGACGGGTCCAATCACTAATTCTGAATTTGAGATGACGCGCAAAAGAAAATCTCAGGAAATCCTTGACGATTGGAAGGTATGATTATTAGTAAAATAGATATTTGAATGAACTAATTGCTTAGTCCAACAGTAATGAACTCTTGGTTCGACGCTTAGTGCAAGCTGAGACTCTTGGTCTTCAGTAATGAATTCTTGGTTCGACGCTTAGTGCAAACTGGGACTCTTGGTCTAAAGGATAGCTCTTAGTTTGACACTTCTTTTACTATTAAGAAATTTTTTCTTGCAAGTATTGTTGTTAATTCTGTTTTTTAAGAAATGGTCTACACAGAAGAAAAACCTGAAGCGTTCCAATGGCGTGAATATTGGGAGTTTGCAAGTAAAAAAGATCAAGCAGTTCGCTGGAAATCACGCAAACAAAATCATGGGTAATAATATAACTTTAGGAACAAAAAAGGTACAAATGCGTTGCTTTTATTAGCTAGATATTGAGAATCGTAAATCAATTATACTTTGTACTTTAATGCTTTAGGATGATCACGAAGAGTTACGGAAAACTCCCGAGCATAAAATATATATTCAGATTCCTTCGTTCCCCCAACCACAAGAATGAAAGTGACGATAAAGAAACTGACAGTGATGACTTTAGCCCGGATAAGCGAGACCCTAAGAATTTTACGTTCGATGAATTTGTAGATGGGAACGATGAATATGTGGATGATGATCAAGAGAGTCTTTTTCTAGATGATGATCAAGAGTTTTTTTTGGATGATTCGGTTGCGTTTGATGAAAATGATGATGGCAATCCCGTGAGTTTCTTTCCTTTTCTCTTCTACTAGTTAACATGCTTTTATGTTTGCTAATAAATGTCTTTGAAATATATAGTATATGTTTCAAGATAAGAATATAGCTGCGCTATTCACATCATATCGTTTAAATGCACAGAAAATGGCACGGGAATCGGTTTATCTATCGAGACAGATTACCATGAAATATTGTAAGTTTGAATTTTGAGAATATATTCTCTTGTATGAATTATAAGGCTGACAATATTTATTTGGAAATATTAGGAGCTTATCGCATATTTTATTATTACAAGCTGATAACTTCTCGGATCTGCAGATTGAACAATTTTCCAGTGATACTCTAGTAGATTTTCATAAACATATGCGCAATACATATATAATTAAAAACAAAATCACACAAAGCGTAAAGGCGATATTTCGAGAATGCATTGAGGTAACGTATTAGTGTACCATTTTTGCGAAAAGTCACTTATCGTAATTTTTTTCATATGGTGGTTTTAATGTATTAGATTGCACTTGATGAAGATTTCGGGCCGAAAGAAGCAGAAAAAACTTTAGAACGATCATTCACAAAGTCTTTTGATGATCCTATTGACCAGAAAAAGTTCGAAAGGATGCGGTTTGTCTTTTTACAGCTGTAAGTTCAAACTTATAGTGTTTTTTTATCTTCTATATGTTCAACTAGTTATAATCTTTTTATCTATCTCACAGAACGAAAAATATTTCTATTAAGCTACTGAAAGACCTTCTTAGTGAGGGCACTCTGACTATCAACATTATTAGTCTGGTATTGCGTTCCTTCTTACATGATGCTTCAATACATCCAGCCATATAGCCAAACACTGCCAGTATGAGCGCAAAAGTCCGTAAATTTGCCAATTTAGATTCTTCACGAGCAAAGCAACCAGACATGATCGGCAATGTTGTAAACAACAACAAATCTAAATACGAAATGATGTTTGGAGAGATTATAGGAGAAGGGAAAAACAATAGCATAAAGAAAAACAACTTGGATCTTATCAAGCTAGGCATTTTCATGAAGGATGCCCTTGATATTCTCATTAAGAAGACAGGAAAGAATCATATAACTCGCGTAGCAAACAATTGGTAAGTGTTCACCACATAATCATATGGGGTTGAGTCAGTAGAAACGCACCAAATTTTTTCTAAGCAAATTTTTTTGAAACTTTAAACCAAAATAACTTAGCAAGGACTTAACCATATTTAATAATTTTTTTTTTAAAATTAATTCTAAAATCTTATAGAATTTATTTAAAAAAATTTTTATTAAATTTGAATAATTTCTTGTCAAGTTACCTTTGTTTAAATTTGCAAAAATATTTCACTAAAAAAGATTTGGTGCGTTTCTACTGACTCACCCCCATATCATGTTGTTTCTAAATTGTTTGTGTATTCACATATGAATGGCATGGTAGTGACAGTATGGACGGGCTATATCATGGTTTTGACTGCTTCAGGACTCTATATTATGTTCGATATTGGCGAGACTGAACTTCCCAAGTCCTTTCAAACCTGTGAACAATTCATTAATGGCATTGACAATTTGTTCACATTTGCTGTACGCTTAAATTAATGTTTTCGATATTTTTTTTTTGACATGATTATTCTTAAAATTAACCAGTAACATTGTAAAACCCAGGAGAAATATGAGTATGAGTGTAAAGATTTCATGACGATATTAGAAAAAAGAAAGAAGATACACATAGTTCTGCCGAAGTAACTAATTGGTGTCAGACTACACTGGAAACACCACAGTTTAAGAAATTAGTGAAAAAATGATGGTTTTTAGTGTTCAAGTAAAAATTTTAATATCTCATATCTCGTTGTACTCGTAATATAAAACTTCATGTTCATTCTTGCGAAAAAAATATATATTTTTAATATAGTCATAGTTTGGCATTTATCTGAAGCTCCGCTAATAAAACTTGTGTATATCTTTAATCTTGATTTTATTCATGTAATTATTACGGCTCATCATCACGGCTGATAAAAATAGTAATTTCCCTATAATTATATGAATTACAGTACGATCACGGGCTACATTACGGTTGATTAAATTTTTCTTGACAAAAGTGATTGACATTACAAATTTTAACGCGGAATAATTCATGATTTAATTCAAACTTTTGAACATATCTGCATCTTGCATAAAACAATGAAAAATACACAGTCTAAAATTGATTTACTGAAAGAACAGAATTCCAAGCTTGTATTCGAGATTACTGAACTTAGGGAGAAGAATGCTATACTCTTGGCTGAGAATATCAAGGTTAAAGCTGATAATGTGAAGTTGAAGCAAGCTTTAGAAAAGTATGAAGTGAGATTCATAAATCTGGAACAGAAAGATAAAGAAAAGACCAGCCTTATTGCTAAATTTGATGATGACATCAAGGAAATCAAACAGAATCAAATTGTTGCTATTTCATTGGAAGCAGAATCAAAGCATAAGATAGCAAATTCGTGTCTAATCTTTGATTCCATCTCTGAATCACAAATAACTTCTCCATCTATCGAAACCTATTCAGATAAACAAACTTCGATTCACTGCGAAACAAATGATTCTATTACTAGCATTATAGTTGATATACCTAATATATCAAATTCTGATATATACCAATCTATCCACACAGAGCCTAAATTATTAGAAGACAAAGAGATAGATGATTTCTTCGATTCAATATATAAAGAAAAGGTTAGTAAAGAGATAATTTGAAACATTAAAAAAAAGAAACTTCAGAATCGAAATTCAGACTTATTTTCAGACAATACTTTAAAGCTATTAGAGCTATACAACCAGAAAATTATGAGAAATCATATGACCAAATTCCCGTAATTTTAAATCACAGAAAATATGACCAAATTTCAAAATACAAGTGAATCTGATATCAAACCCGCTTCTGTTAAAAGTTCAGAACACTTTCTCATTAACTCAGAACAAAATATTAAATCTGAAAATTCCTTCGATAAGCCCTTAACAAATCAAATTGTGGAACAAGAATTACAGCAACAGACCTCTATGCCTATTAGAGATAATAGTTCAGGTATATTGAATGAAGATGCAATGCGAGATATAGACATTTTTACTAATGATTTATCTCAGTTTCAGCACAGACTATAGTTTGCATATTTCAAAAAACAATTCGATCTACTCAAGATACAATTTTATACTGGTATTACTTTGCTATAAAATATAACAAAAGAATAGACCAATTAATTCTGATATTTTTAACTCTGATTGGATTATAGAATATACTCCAAAATCTGATATTCAAACAAGCTGGTACTCAGATATCCTTCAACCAATACTAATTGATGAAGTTCAACAAACAATTAGCAAACTTCCAAATGGTAAAGCATGTGAACCATTGAGAATTAGTTATGAAATATTCAAACATGTGAGTATACTCTTCCTACAACTTATTACTGAACTCTTAAATGAATGTTTGATACAACAACAAATTCCTAAACAGTGGAAAGATAGCTGTATCTTTCCAATATCAAAAAAACTATCATTTGATAGAAACCTCTCAAATACTAGGCTGATTAGCCTTATTGAACATGTGAAAAAACTTTATACCAAAATATTAACTAATCGACTTAATATCATCCTAACTAAATATAATATACTATCTTCTTTTAATTACATTGCATTACCAGGTAATAGTACTAATATACCTATTAATATTCTTAACAATATTATAGAAGATGCAACATGCAATGAAAAAGAACTTTAGCTTCTATCTCAGGATATGAGCAAAGCATATGACTCAGTCAACTTTGATCTCTTCAAACTAGCTCTTCAAAGAATTCAATTTTCTAAACCTCTTATAAATATTCTATCTAATCTTCTTCTTGATTGAACAAACAAAGTTATTACAAACTTTGGATTAACAAATTCATACTAGGTTCAAAATAGTATTGATTAAAGAGAAACAATAACTCCACTCCTTTAGTGGATTTATTATGATCCTCTCATATCTAAAATCTCCAAAGAAATAAAAGGCTACTAACTATCTACAACATGGTCTGAAAATATACTACAAACTAAACTAAACAAAACACAAACTAATATATCAGTCTTGGCTTACATAGATGATATACTTTGAATTGCAAAAACCAAATTACAGCTTAATGAAATAATTAAGATTACTACATCATTCTTCTTAATAGCAAGCATACAAGTTAATCTAAACAAATCAATTCTAGTTTTTAATACCGTAGACCTTCATAGTATTCAATTTAGTAATTCTACTATTACATCTATCTCTGCAAAAACATCATTTAAATTTCTTGGTTGTTGGTTCATTTTAAATAACAACTAAAAAGCTCAAATTAACTTAATATCTAAAGAAGCCTCCTCTCTTGCTAATATATTATATACAAAAAACATTACTGATAAACAAGCTAGTTATATTATCAACAAAGTAATCATCTCAACTCTGGAATATAGAATACAAACTATTGTTATCCTTTTAACAATATATCAAAACATTCTTTCAAAATACTTTATTGTCACTAAATACAAAGCAAATCATTCTAAAACACTTCAAATAGCACTATGCTTAACCATAATATTTATAGTATTAAAAATATCTGGGATATTCAATTACAACATCATATAACTAACTTTTTATTATGGCTTAACAACTCTGATTTATTAGAGATATCTACACAAATTCGAGTTCAACAACTACAAAATATTTTATGGTCTACCATAAATATTTTTCAATATCCAAATCCTATAATTGAAGGACCAAACAAATATACAACAACTTACAAAATCATCAAGCTTTTTAATATGCTTAATATAGTTATTACGGCTAATAATAACTATCAATAGCAGGTCTGGTGATCTTAGTGTAGTAGTTAGGTTGCCAGACCACTATGCAAGAGGTCTGAGGTTCAAATCCCACTGTTAACGAATTTGAATAATTACTCAGACCTTTGTACCTAACTTACGGTAAACCCTGTTCGTTTTTGGAGTTGTAACCCTGTAAATCACATTGTACTAATATTATTCAGATATTAGAAGTATGACGGAATATTTGGAGAGCATAATGTTACATGAATAAATCTTGATAGAATCTACGAGCAGGGGACCTGCATAGTAGAAATCTCGAGTTGGTGAAGTAGTACAGCTTTTAACAGTCACACCGGCTAACACTTGATTCAGAAAAGAAACTATTGTCAAAAGATGCTGATCGAGTTGAGTATGCATAAATCTATTCTACAGAGAGAATCAGTAATACCAACTTGGCTTGGCAGCTAACTAGATTGGGAGGATCTACCTTGTGAAACATCTGAGAAGATAGATAGGAAAAACTAGTAGAGAGCTACAGTAGGAACTGGAGTTGTACAAATATCTACAAAGATCTAAGCTAGGTGAATCTGTGAAATGGGCACAAACTGCTCTAGTAGGATTGCTTACAAAGTTAACTAGAGCTCTGTGTGCTACAATATATTGAGCAATATACATCCCGAGAGAACCTAAGCTAAGTTAGGTAAATAGATCTGCAACAAGCTAGCTAGCTTAAGCGTTTAGATATTACAGTGATGTTAGTTGATTCCAGTATTGGTTAGGTAAACAGAGTATTTAAATAGGTAACTCACAAGCGGGTTACAGGTATGGCAGCTTGTGTAGAACCAAACAAGTGATCTATCTGTATGGCAAACTACTTAAATTAGACAATAACTAAAGTTATACGTATAGCAGGTTATACACTCTTCATGTAATTACAAACTGTAGAGGATTGTCAATAGATGACCTCATATATTAAACTAATAAAATCTGCTCAGTATAATAAGCTGCCTTTAATTAAAAAAAAAAAAAAAATAACTATCAATGGCCTAAAACTTATCAACACAAAGCATATCCATTAGAATTAATACTTAACAAATATTCTCTCTACATAATATTTAAATAATAGCTTCACAGAAAAAACCTTATATACTTAGACCAACTTACAATATCTGAAAACAATATTCTTCTAAAATGGCAACATATTTCACCTTGACTACAATACCTTCCTAAAGGAAAATAGCCTTTGTAGTTCTCCTTCTTAGAAGAAACAATTACTACAAACTCTCATACCAGAGAGATTATAGATTCAATATCCTTAAACTCTCCTAATCCTTTTCCTCCAAGTACAGGCCATTTTAGAACTAAAAAACCATGGATACTCTCAATAACTAATAATCAAATTACTTTAAAAAAAGCTTGTAAATTCTTTTCAAGTAATAATACTATATCAATAACTCATTGGACTACTGATTATAACTCAAGCTATACAGCCTACTATCCAAACTATCCTATTAACTGCATACCATGCTTAGGTTGCAGCTTAAACTCTAACCGTATTAAAACTTATGTACTATCGATGAATTAGCTACACATAGTACTAAAGTTTGAACTAGGCCTTCTACTAACAATCTCTTAAACAAATTGAAGCTAAATGCTAACCTAACAGATCTAATTTATAATCTAGCAATTAGATATCTACTAACTATTCTACCTCTTTCAAGTATCAATTTGGAAAATAACTATATAGCTGAAATATTCAAATCTAATGAAATTTCAAAAACTCTATAAGATATAGCCAAATAAAATTTGAATTAACAAGAGTTTATATTTTATACTAATAGTTCAGTACAAAGTACAAGTCACTCTCATTATAGTGAACTCTCGATATAGTGAAGACTAATTAAAGTCTCAATATAGTGAAGTTAAGCTCAAAGCCAGTCTATATAAAATTCTCTTGATATAGTGAATTTACTAATAAAGCTCTCGATATAGTGAATTTTAAAAAATTTTTATTAATAGAACAGATCACTTCACTATAATAAGAGTGACTTGTATATGCACAGATCAATGCTCTATAGAAATTAGCTGAGTTCAAATTTTTAACAACCAAGTAGTCAAAACTTTTGCAGCACAAATCAAAACTTGGCTTTCATCTTATAAAGCAGAGCTTATTGCAATACTCTCTGCTATAAGTACTTCACCAAAAAATTGCAAATTACAAATCTTTACTGACTCACAATCAGTAATTTCTAAATATAACAAAATTCAATAACAAACAACAAACTACAATACTAAAACAAAATATAATTACTGGCCAATTTGGGAAACTTTATTTAACTTTATCAAATCACAAAATATCAACATTGTTTTCCATAAAGTTCAAACACATAGTGACAATAAACTTAACAACACAGCAGACTTTCTAGCATCACACCATTCACTTCTAGGATTTCTCGAATTTAATTATACAAATTATTTTAATAATTCCTACATACTTCAATGGGAAAATTTTTCTGTTGAACAACCAGCATGTAAATTTATCAAAAATATTTGTAATGCTTTTACAATAGCTCTATGGTCCTCACAATTTAGAGCACAACTCTAGAAACAATTCTCAAATCAAGTTAACTGGAACTTAACTTAAGCAGTAATTAATAATAATCTTCCACAATCATCTAACTATACTAACTACAAACTGAGTAAAACCAAAACTTTCTAAGTTAAAAATCTTCTTAATAATCTTCTAACTATATCTCAGTTACATAGATATTATTCTAATATTATTAAAACAAAACAATGTATTCATTGCAATCAATTAGATAATAACATATATTGGATATTTTGCTCTAATCTACATTTAATCTTCAATATAATCAAATCAAATATACAATCCAATTTTACAACAAATAATCTTGATATTTCATCCTCACAACTCCTTTATCTTCAAAACTTATTTATTAATCATCACTCCTTACAATTACCACAACCATTTTCTAACAATATTTTATTTCATCAAACTATTATGCAATAGATCTGGGGTTCAAATCTCATTGTCAATGAATTTGAATAATTATCCAAACTTTGTGATAAGTTATAGTAAACTCTGCTATTTTTAGAGGTGTATTTCTATAAATTGAGTTGTACTAAATCGATCTAAAATTGGAAGTGAAATATATATAATATTATATGAAGAAATTTTAATAAGATATACAAGTAGGAGATCTATATAGTAAAAATCTCGAATAGATAAAATAGTATGACCTTTCTACAGAACTATATCAGTTAAAGTTTGATCTGAAAAGAAAACTTAGTTTAA